GCCATGCAGGAAGCTCAGCAAGCTTTTTTATCAGGTTCAGCATTACTGAACCTATTGTGCAGTATGGACACTATCCAGCAACAAATGAGGTCCGGGGCCCTCCTCCCCCTCTGCAGAGATTGGTTGCTAGGACCTCTGGCCGGTCCTAGCAACCAGTGAGGTCAAATGTGTGTGTGTCCCCCAGCATTACAGGAGGATGGAAGTATATCTTCTCCCGTCCTCTCCTGCAGCTCCGCCTTCTGGCTTCTGTCTCTGGCCCATCAAGAAGGTATTTGCCACATACTATGTGGGGATTATAAGGCTTCATTCAGGGCCTGTTCACACCTATGCCATGTGTTAATCGCATGCTTCCATGCTATTAAGGCACACTACCATTTTTCAACCACAATGCACATTATTACGGTACGGTGCGTCGCAGTGCAGTCAATGGGGTCAATTCACAAAGCTTTTTTTCCAGATACCGCTCGTTATTTTAACGATTTTGCACGATATTGAAGCTAGTTCAATTCACCAAACGATTTAACGCTTTGAAAAATCATCAAATAACGTCTCACTTCATGGAACTGATATTTTAAGGTGTGGATCGTTATTAAACATTTCGATCGTTGTTTTAGCAAGTCAAATCGTTAAATATGTACAGAAGTGCAATTCACAAAGATTTTTTTGCCAGATATCGATCGTTAAGCAATCGTTACATAAGCACCACCCTCAGGGTGTCGTTATGACATTTCCCTGGCGGTATTTCTTTGTTAGAGGAAGCTTTTGGCGACAAAAATTCAGTTCTTCAGTTTTGCAGTGAAAGTGTTTGGTAGTTTGGGGCAAGATGGAACCATTTGGGTGTGCTCTATTTGAACTTAAAACTATCCAGAGCCGAAGAAGAACACATCAGTATGTTGTTCTGATTTATAAACGTGTATTCCGTTCTCGCACTATTTTGGATTACTTTTCTGAAACCCAGGTGATAGCTAAATTCCGTTTAACATCTCCCATGATTCATTTCTCTGTAAGAAGCACTGTTCTCCTCCCCTTCTGCTCCCAGAATGCATCTCTCAAGCGTTATTTTACGATCATAGACGTTATTATTACGTTTAAAACATTAGCATAACGATTGGATAACGAGTCAGTAGAAAACCATAACGACCATCTTGAATAACGATTATAGCTTTCGTGAATACCATGTTTGCTAACGTTAAATAAGGGGCGGTAATTTAACAACTGAAGGAGACCAATAACGTTTCTCTTTGTGAATTGACCCCAATGCAGTACATTTGGGGTGTCATTAAAATGAATGGCAATGCAATACAGCTGCCGTATGCTAGCATGGAACCGTGCAGGTAATGCACAGTATAGGTAGAAACAGGCCCTCACACCTTCAATGTCTATTGGTTTGGCCCTCCATAACCGGCCCAGTGTTTTATGTGGCCCCTTGAGAAAATGAATTGCCCAACCCTGTAATAGACATTGCCTGTTTTATGAGGACCATGTATAGCAGGGGTAGGCAACCTTGGCACTCTGGCTGTGGTGAAATCAGATATCCCATCATGAATCTGCAAGCTTTCTTGTGGCCATCAGAGTCTTGCAATGCCTCATGGGACTTATAGTTCAACAACAGCTGGAACGCCAAGGTTGCCTAGCCCTGATGTATAGTGTTATGAGCTGAGATCTCCTCCATTTCCTGTCTGGATGCAGACTGCCCTGCTATTGGGTCAGAATCATTTACATTGTGCAATGGTTTTGCTCTGTGTATGGCTATGTCCCGGTGTGGGTGAAGGCTGACCACCTCAGTACAGTGCATGAGAAAAGATATGCTGACATTTTGGTTCTGGGCCCTGATATAAGTGAACTTTTACTTTGCATGGCAGGGCAATGAATCCCTTCGCTCTCCCCATTCCCCCGCAGCACATACCCACCTTTCCTCCCCTGCTAATCCATTCAGCCCAGGGTTTGGAGGAGCCCCCAGTTCACTCCTCCTTTCTCATGTGACAGCAATAATGCCTTGTTATTGGCCCAACGCTGTGAAATGAGACACAGTCCCCGTGGATGAACAGAGAGGCAAGAAAGTGAGGAAAGGTAAGTAAGGGAAAGAGGGGCTTGGTGAAAAGTTCACTTCACTGTGCAGGCCAAAGTAGCAAGTCATTTTAATCTTGGGCCTATCTTCTGCACATACTCATGTTCTCTTTGCTCCCCAACTACTATGTTCACCTACCAGGAGCACAGACATGTTCATGGTACTTTGGGGTATTGTGAGCATGTGACTCTCTTACCCTTCTGCCATGTGACAGAGCCGGGATCACTCTCTTTGCTCCCAGAATAGAGCCCAGGTGGGCGTTACAAAAATGGTGCAGGGATGTCTTTTCATCATCCAGTGTGGTGCCCTGACTTCCTTAACGCAAAACACATGTTAGCCCTCGTTCACACCTGAACGTTTTGTAGCGCGTTCTACGCTGGACGAACGCTCTACATAACGCTCAAAAATATAAATCCCATTGTATTAAATGGTCTCGTTCCCACCTTGGCGTATTTCCGCCCGTCCCTAACACGCTACAAAACGGCCCACGCCTGAAAAGGTACGAATCGCGGTAAAAAACGCGTGATGGTCGCGCGACAGACGCGCATATGCAATATGCCTAGGTGTGAACGAGACCTAACATCTTCTTTACTGCAGCATGCATCAACGTTATGTGAATGGGCCCTAAACCTGATACAGTGCCCATGGCTGGGTATAGACCTCGAGGTTCCCGGGATACATCAGGCTTGGTGGACCCCCTCATACACAGGAATTAAATACACAGCAAATAACTATGCAGTTGGTTTCTTTCTCAATGACAGTTGTGCATTTTAAACCTGTGGGACACACTCTTATTAGGAGGCCACTCGCACACGCAATCATAGGCTACCTTCATTCACGGCGTGAGTGCTCTATGTTGCGGTTCACTTGAACCTCCAACATTTGTTTTTAAATAGAATAGAACAAAGTAAAAATGTTCAGGGCTCCTTCACATTGGTTGCGGTGACTGTCATTTTTCCGCACTGGATCGACAATTCTTTATCATCTTCCCCCGTTCACACTACAATGCGGGTCTAACATATGGTACAAAATACAGACATGCTGCATTTTTCCGCAGCGCACTGAATGGCTCTGGAGACCACCCTAGTCCAGCACAGTATGCGGCTGCTGTCAACCTTACCGATGACTGCGGGCAAAACATTCCCAAGATACATTCTAATACGGGCCCATGCCCACGGGTGTATCGCAGAGCAAACACAGGCGTATTTTCATACCGCGAAAATATGTCTGTATACGTGGCGCCCTGGAGCTGCAGCTTCTGCAGTTTTACACTTGCAGACACCACCACTGGCGCTTGCAGGAGTACACAGGAGTACTCCATTTTTCTGTCCATACAGTGCTATGGACAAGAAACCTCAGCAGCTGTGATGGGGTGTATGTCTGCAAACGCCAGCACTGATGTGCACGATGATCAGTTTCCGAATGTTGGAGTTCCTTGTCTGGAAACCCACCCATGCGCAACTGCTATGGACAGAAAACCGCAACAGCTCCTGGGCGCTGTGAATGTAGTGTCATGTCATTACGCACACGCGTAATTAAGTCACGTTAACTTTACTGCCGGTGACCATCTTGGTGATGGACGCCAACAAAGAGAGGAGGGGGGATGTTCATACAGCAGGATAAGGTATGACGCTGTGTCCCTTCTTCTCTCTTGTGCAGCTGTTGGGCTCTCAGTCCATGATTGAGTGCCTGATTTTTCAGAGTGGGTCGTTTTGGTGTCACCCCGTCTGATGGTGTCACCCGGTGCGGCCCGCGCCCCCCCTGCGTCCTCCTTGTGATGTCACTGCTGGGTAATGTATATTTGTATGATCTGGATTCATTAATGAAAAATAGATTGAGCGTTTAATACTACTTTACTACTATATTTTTTTAGGGATGCACCCATACCAAAACTAGTATCGGTGCCGATGCCATGTATTTGGGCGAGTACCCGTACTCGCCCAAATGCTCCAATGCCTAGCCCGATACTTTCGGTATCAGGAAGCCAGGCAGCGCTCCCTGATTGGTCGGAAACTGGCCAATCAGGAAGCCGGGTGCCCTGTAATGACGCAGCGCTCAGCATTCCGATTGGCCGGGAAGCCGGCTTCATGCACCCTCTGCATGGAGCCGGCTTCCCGGCCAATCAGGAAGCCGGGCGCTGCGTCATTACACAGCGTCCAGCTTCCTGATTGGCCAGAAAGCCTCACCCAGTGACGAGAAGCATGAGGACGGCTTCCCTGCTAATCAAGAAGCCAGGTGGCGAGTCATTACACGCCGCTTGACTTCCTGAATGTGTCCTCAGTATTCGGTATCGGCGAGTACCGGAACAAAAATATTGGTACTCGATACCGAAATACCGGTATCGGTGCATCCCTAATATTTTTGTATAGTCCCTTCTGATAGGGCAATTGCCCCTTATAAACCCCACCCTGCCAGTGGCCCTTGTCCTTCCTTTTCTCCCTAGCCAACCAGCCTTATGAGGCAGTCAGTAAGGAGTTAAGCTCCTCTCCTGTCCAGGATGTCCCCGGTCGGGTGAGAGTCACAGCTCCTGCTGGATGAATATTAATGGGCTGGCACATGGAACGTCACACTGACGCGTCTTCCGGGCTTTTTAATGGGGCGCTGCAGTAATGCAGCCGGCATAAGGAGGAAAGGAGGGGGGTGATAAAGGACAAGCTAGGGCACCAAGATCCCATCATCAAGGATTAAAGCACCTTCCTCAGAAAACCAAGCTGTCCCCATTTCCTTGATTGAGCCCACCCTAAGGACAGTAACATAACCCAGTATGATGAGACCCTCCTGAGCGCCAGACGCGGAAACTAAGTAGCGCCGGGCTTGTTTGTTGTTTTGGTGGTAACATTGTATAAAGAGTGGAAGCGCCCAGTCTGTACATATTTATAAATATATCAGAGTTGTATCTATCGCAGGGTCCTGTATTGGAAGCGCACACATCTATTTTTAGCGGAGGGTGTCAATGGGGGATTACGGCTTCGGGTTACTGCAGACAGCCGGGAGCGCTGGCAGCGGAGGAGGCAGCGGCTTGTTCGGTGGGGGAGCGTTCAGAGGGAGCCCGCAGTACCCATCGGCGGCTTCGGGCAGCGCCCTGTTCCTGCCAGGCTACCCACAGATCATGCAGGATGAGCTACTGTTGGGGGTGAGCTGTGGCCCCGGCAGGCACAGTAAGAACGGGGGCCACCACCAGGTCTCTCCCCCTGCCCTGCTGCTGCACGGTGCCCAGGACAAGCAGCTGGGGCACAAGAGGAAGGACTTCAGCCCCCAGGAGAGCGCAGCGTTCAGGGAGGAGCTGAAGAAGCCAGGGGAGGTTAATCATCACCGCCAGGGATCTCCCAAAGCGGAGGAGCTGGGTGTGGAGGGTCCCGACAAGCTGCTGCCATCCTCGCCATCCTTGTCTTCGTCCTCCAGCTCCTGCTCGGCCGAGGAGGTGCCCTCTGCCGCCGGGGACCCCCATGCTTCTGGATCGCCCCCTTCTCTGGCCAAGTGCAAGCTGCAGATGGAGGCGCAGGGTGGTGGTGGTGGGCATCTGCTCCTAGGGAGCCCCTTCCCCGGATCGCCCGACCTGGCTAGCAATCAGAGCCCCGGAGGATCGAGCTCTTCCCCTTCCCTGCCGGGTTTCGGGACCCCCTGGTCGGTGCAGACCTCGTCCCCACCTCCGCCGCCTCACCAAATGCCCCAGCAGCAGCAACCCTCTGCGCCCCACCCTGCCGGCCCCAATCTCAATGCCCTGCAGAGCCAGGAGCCTGACAGCTTCTACCCTGGCATCCCCTCCTCCATCAACCCGGCCTTCTTCCACAGCTTCTCCCCGGTGTCTGCCAACCCCTGCCCTGGCATCAACGTGCCCGGATTCAACAGCCCATTCTCTGGCCAGATCAACATCACCCAACAGCAACAGAGCCGGAGATCCCCGGTGAGCCCCCAGCTCAACCCCCAGCATCACCAGGCTGCAGCCTTCCTACAGCAGAGGAACAACTACAACCACCATCAGGTAACCCAACAGCCTCATACGTGTCACTTATCAGCTGTGTTACATTGTCCATATGCTTGGGAGCTCCTGATGTCCTTGGATATAGTCATTGCACTAGGTTTGCACTGGCACAGCTGGCATAGGGTTGGAGTAGTGAGGTTGCCATTTTTTGCTAGCCTGTTTCCATTATTCTGACAAAACCCTGGGAATGATCCCATCTTTACTCACAGGTTCCCTGTATTTGCTGTGAGCTCCTACTCACTGGGGTGTACAGTTCTTCATTGGCATAGGGTTAGCATTGTCGGGTTGCCATTTTTGCTAGCTTATTGCCCGTTTCCTTTATTCTGACAAAACCATGTGAACAATTCAATCTTTCACTACCCATCCCTTTATTTGCTGTGAGCTCCTAAGTATTTCAGTGGCTTGTACAGGTCGTCATTGCATAGGGTTGGCATTGTCAGGTTGTCATTTTTTGCCAGCTCATTGCCTGTTTCCATTATTCTGACAAAACTATGTGAACAATTCCATCTTTTGTTATGGGTCTCACTTTTTTTTTTGCTGTGAGCTCCAATATAGGTATTGCACTGGGTTGTTCAGGTCTTCATTGGCATAGGGTTGGCATTGTCAGGTTGCCATTTTTCCTAGCTCATTGCCTGTTTCCATTATTCTGACAAAACTATGTGACCCATTCTATCCTTCATGGTGCAGCTCGCTATTAATGTCATTTTACACAGTCATTGCACTGGGTTGTACAGGTCTTCATTGGCGTGGGGTTGGCATTGCAAGGTTGCCATTTTCCTGTTTCCATTATTCTGACAAAACCATGCAAAAGTTCCATCTTTCGTGATGCTATCCCTTTGTTTCTATGTCTTTTTAACCCTTCCATATTTCACTAGAGGCCTAGTGATACCAGTCTGGGTGTCACCTTGTAGTGATCATATTGATTGCCTTGTCTTTGCTGTGTGTGCTTTATATCCAGTCCTTTTAACACGATCATTGAATTGGTTTAATTTTATTGGCATAGGGTGGCATTGTGAGTTTGCTTTTTTTTTTGCTGGCAGTTTGCATGGTTTTGTCACAATAATGGAAGCCGACAAACGTTTTTATCCTTAAAGGTGCATCTCCCTTTGTTTCTATGGCTTTTAACCCTTCCATATTTCACAACAGGCCTAGTGACACCGGTCTGGGTGTCACTGTGTAGTCATCACATTGATATTGTTGTCTTTGCTGTGAGTTCCTAATATCCAGTCCTATTAGCCAGTCATGGTATTATCATGTACATGTCTTTTATCTCATTGGCAATGGTGGCATTAGGAGGTTGCTGACTATATATATGGTTTTGTCAGAATAATGGGGACGGGCAAAAAATTCCATCATTAATGGTGCATCTTCCTTTGTTTCTGTGGCTTTTAACCCTTCCATATTTTGCAAGAGGCCTAGTGACACCGGTCTGGGTGTCACCTTGTAGTGATCACATTGATTGTATTGTCTTTGCTGGGAGCTCTAATATCCAGTCATGTTAGCTTGTCATTGTATTGTCATGTACATGTCTTTATTTCACAGGCAGTGCTGACATAATGTGGCATTCCATCCTATTAGCCAGTATTGTATTGGGATGTTATTAGTGCAGCTGGCACAGAGTAGCCATATCTGGCTGTCATTTGTAAGCTGGTTGCATGGTTCTGTCAGAATAATAGAAACCGGCATATAGGATGGTGTCTTTTAACCCATTCACATTCAGCAGAAGGCCTAGTGACACTGGGGTGGTGGATGTCACCTTGTAGTGACCACATTGATTGTACGCCTGTCAATTATCTCCAGTGTGTTATCTGGATATTGAATTCCAATGTTGAGCAACACACTTTAATTAGGTTCTTATCACCTCCTGGAAATAATGCTGTCAGGTTGGCCATTGTATGACTTCCTTTTCATTTTTGAATGTATATTGTTTGAGGTTTTTGAAGCACTGGATCCAATGCTAGCTCCAATGTGCTGTGTGTATGTATCTACCACTAGCAGTGTAAGAAGGGGTAGCATTTATGTGACTAGTTTTGTTGTTGCTGATTGGTTGATCACATCTGACTGTAAATGACTTGAACTGCCAGGAGAGATAAATCACATTGCCCTGTTTGATGTATAGATTATTGAGCGGTGGTTGGCCTTCATTTTCAATGCAGTAGATCTGCATTACCGGTATAGGAAAACTCATCCCATTGTGATGCCTTGTTATAGCTTTCAGATGCACAAGGTGGTGTAAAGCGGACCATACATGCGTAGAATTTCATTCGAAAGATTCATTTTTGGAACGTTCATTCAATTTTCTAATGGTTAATAGGGACAAATCAACTCATATCACTTTTGAACGTATGGACAAGAAAATTTGAAGGCTCAGGATGGATTTCTTTCTCATTTCTTATCTTTTTACGAAGGAAATTCTAACTGTGAATGTGATTTCCGCACATAAAACATACTTATTGTAATGGTCATGTGCTAGCCACAAAAGAAACCTGTTTAATACATCTGGGGTTCCAATCAAGTAGCCAGTCAGGATTACATTTTTGGCCCCTTTCACCGCTGTGACATCTGTGTCCCTCCAAATTTTCCTCTACCTTGCAATGGAGGAAAGAACTGAAACTACCAGACCCGATGTCAGTCTATGGGGAATCGGATGTATATGAACAAGTGCCCATTAACACCAAATTACCCCAGATCCAGCATGGTCAGCTCCGGTGAAACAGAACTCTGATCCGTTTGTCTTTCCGGACTTGGCCGGAGACGGGGGTAAGCGGGTGTAAACAGACGCCCATCCTTTTACACACGGCTGGCCAAAGACTTCTATTGGGCATCTGATCGGGTCCGCCTGAAAAACTGACAGGCCAGAATCAGACCGCCCATGTGGAAGGGGCCTTAAGGTCTTTCCAATGAAATTCCTTGAGTCCATAGTCATAGTTGGTAAGGTTGAATATAGACATGCGTCCATCTGGTTCAATGAAGTCAGGATTGAATGATGGAGCGATTTTTCAGCACTCAAAATTCTACTGGTGTGTGGCCATCTTAACAATGGCTCTGTGTGAGATCAGATCTCCTGCAGTCCTCTTATGTGCCCAGAAACTCCACTTATCTTATAAAAATTACTCTGTGGGCCTGTTTTATCACACAAGGCTTTCAGTTTGAAAACACCCTCTTTTTCCACCCTCCTCCGAAATTGCTTCTCCTTAGCTTTTTGCATGTGCTAGGTTTTGTTTGCTCAGGGTATATACCATTTATCAGAGGACCTCAGTCGATGGACTCACCATAGTTTCTATTTTGTTTATGTAAATGCCGTCTCTAGTAAACAGAATGCTTGTTTGGTTTGTTCAGGATGTGGCGTTGGCTATTGTGTTTCCGCATAACTAATGCAGGATGCTGTATGTGCCTATACGGTAAACGGGAATATTTACTTCATCATCTATGGGGGTTGATGTGTGAGAACCGTCCTGTCAGAAAACCTGGTCCTTAGAAATGTCTCCTGTTAGGGGCAACTGCTCCCTTTTTTTTCTTTCTGTTTTTTTTTTTATCGGGTGAAAAATGGGTCTGTAGATTATATAGGCCAATTTGGTTTAATTTTGATTTCTTTTACTTGCACTATGACAACAAAACACCCATTCTGAATAGTGTGTCTATGGGTAATAGCTCCACTTAAAGGCACTTGCGTTTTAATCAATCAACTCCTGTGAAGCTACAATAGCCCGTAAACCTGAATAACCAGTATGAGCCTCTAAGTAAGTTTAATGGTGACAGAGCCTGCTGCAGTGGAAAATGCGTGAATTAACTGTACAATACCGTATTATGTACTTTTACTTTTTTTTCCCCCTTTTTTTTTTTTTGCCTTTACTCTTGTTTATTTTCAGTGAGAATGATTGATGTGTTAGCTCAGCTACTGGCAGCATGGAAACTGCCCGGTGCAGATGCCCGGTGCAGATGACAGGATCTGTTTTAGCCAGCCATTCTCTACTAGTAGTTGTGTTGCCTAAGCTTCTATAACTATATAGGACTGCAGTGGTCATGCCATACATAGCATTCATGCTAATCAGCTCTAACGAGCAGGATCTCATTCTTGGCTCGTGTGTTAGGTCTTATTGTTCTGCTGATGATCTGTCATATTTCCCATTGTCTTTCTTTTTTTTTTCTTTACTGCTTCTGTGCAGCAAAGCATAGGGTTTTTGTGTGTGTGTGTGTGTGTGTGTGATTACGTAGAAGTTTATGCTCTATTTTCTCACTCCTACTATTTTAGATGCCTCAGTGCAGTTGTACTTCAAGACGTGGCTAAACCAGCCTCTGTCATCCAGCCTGCTGCGGCATCATCAGGGGTGTCTTCAAAATTTAGACCAGTGTCGTGCATTTTCATGGTGCACCAGCACCTTGGAAATACATGATGCTAATCCAGGAAGGGCTGTATCCGGGAGAGAAGTCCATCTCCGCCCAGAGCTGCTTCACCTCTGCAATGCTGCCGCAGCCGTACTGTGAGGTAGATTATAAAGTAGGACTCTGATGTGGAGGGGGAACTGGGGACTCTGATGAGAATGTGTTTTTCCTGATGGGAAGGGTTTTATTATTATTATTTTTTTTTTGCACAGGGTTCTCCCTTAATACCTATGCTAGTCCCCTATCATGGATAAGGGTGGGGAAAAAACACACATCATTTTGGACTGAGGTGCCACTAGCCCAGAACAGCCTTGGCTTATTCGGACCCGAACAAATTCTTGTTTTTACATCATTTTGAAGCTGTGCAATGTAAAGTGATCTTTTCCAACCAATGTTATAGTTTTTGTGCACAGTGACATGCAGGAAAAATATTCACTACTCCTGCTTCTATTGTCCACATTTTGGTACAGCAGGAGGGTGCAGTAACTCAAAGCAACCAAGCACATTAGCTTTCATTCTATACAGTACTCTTATCTGCTCTGGTTGCTTTAGGTGGCAGAATGTCATTGCTCTATTATCAGATAAGCCACGTATTGTCTTTCTGTTCTTTTCTTAGA